GGGGAAAATTGGTTTTAAAAAAGGGGGGGTTTTTTTTTTAAAATTTTAAAAATTCCCAAAAAAAACCCCGGGGGGTTTGGGAAATGGGGGGGGGTTTTTTTGGGCTAAACCCAACCAAATTTTTGGGTACTGGTTTGGCCCCCAAAAAAAAAAAATTTTTTTTTAAAAAAGGGGGTCCAGGTCCCAGGTTAAAAAATTTAAAATTTTAAAAAAAAAACCCCCCCCCAAACCCCCCTTTTTAAAAGGGGGGGAAAAGGTCCTAATTTTCCCCGGGGGCCGGGCCCCTTTTTTGGGGAAATGGTTGGCCCCGGGGGGCCCCCCCCCCGGGGGGGGGGGGGAAAAAAAAAAAAGGGGGGGGCCCCCCTTTTTTTTCCCCCCCCTTTTAGGTACTAAAGGGGGGGGGGGGGAAAAAAAATTTTTTTTATACTAGGGGGGGGGGGGAAAAAAAAATAGGGCCAACCGGGCCCCAGGGCTTTCTGGCTACTAAAAAAAGGTACTAGGGGACTAGGCTATGGGGAAAAGGGGGCTGACTAGGATCTGGAAAAATTAAAGTACTAGGCTACTAGGATAATAGGCTACTAGGCTACTAGAACACTAGGATACTAGGATACTAAGCGACTAGGCTACTAGGATACTAGGATACAAGGCTACTAGAATACTAGGATACGACGATAATAAGCTACTAGGATACTAGGATTCCACGATACCAGGCTACTTGTCTAATAGGATACTAGGATGCTAGGATACTAGGATACTATGCTACTAGGATACTAGGCTACTGGGCTACTATGATACTATGTTACTAGGATACTAGGATACTAGGCTACTAGGATACTAAGATACAAGGCTACTAGGATACTAGGCTACTGGGCTACTAGGATACTAGGCTACTAGGATACTGGGCTACTGGGATACTAGGCCACTAAGCTTTTAGGATACTAGGATACTAGGCTACTAGGATACTAGGATACTAGGCTACTAGGATACTAGGATACTAGGCTACTAGGATACTAGGATACTAGGATACTAGTATACTAGGCTACTAGGATACTAGGATACTAGGCTACTAGGATACTAGGCTACTAGGATACTGGGCTACTGGGCTACTAGGCTACTAGGCTACTATGATACTAGGATACTAGGATACTAGGATACTAGGTTACTAGGATACTAGGAAACTATGCTACTGGGCTACTAGGATACTAGGATACTAGGATACTAGGGTACTAGGCTACTATGATACTAGGCGACTAGGCTACTATGATACTAGGATACTAGGCTACTAGGATACTAGGATACTATGCTACTGGCCTACTAGGATACTAGGATACTAGGATACTAGGATACTAGGCTACTAGGATACTAGGCTACTAGACTACTATGATACTATGCTACTGTGCTAATAGGATACTAGGATACTAGGCTACTAGGATACTAGGCTACTAGGATACTCGGCTACTCGGACACTATGATACTAGGATACTAGGCTACTAGGATACTAGGCTACTCGGATACTAGTGTATTAGGATACTGGGATAATAGGATACTAGGCTACTAGGCTACTAGGATACTAGGCTACTAGGATACTAGGATACTAGGCTACTAGGCTACTAGTATACTAGGCTACTAGGATACTAGGATACTAGGCTACTAGGATACTAGGATACTAGGATACTAGGATAATAGGCTACTAGGCTACTAGGATACTCGGATACTAGTGTATTAGGATACTGGGATAATAGGATACTAGGATACTAGGATACTAGGCTGCTAGGATACTAGGCTACTAGGATAATAGGCTACTAGGCTACTAGGATACTAGGCTACTAGGATACTAGTCTACTAGGATACTAGGATAATTGGCTACTAGGCTACTAGGATACTAGGCTACTAGGATACTAGGCTACTAGTATACTAGGATACTAGGCTGCTAGGATACTAGGATACTAGGCTACTAGGCTACTAGGATACGAGGCTACTAGGATACTAGGATACTAGGCTACTAGGAAACTAGTCTACTAGGATACTAGGATAATAGGCTACTAGGCTACTAGGATACTAGGCTACTAGGGTACTAGGATACTAAGATACTAGGATACTAGGCTGCTAGGATACTAGGCTACTAGGATACTAGGCTACTAGGCTATTAGGATACTAGGCTACTAGGATACTAGTATACTAGGATACTAGGATAAAATGCTACTAGGCTACATGGCTACTAGGATACTAAGATACTAGGATACTAGGCTACTAGGATAGTAGGCTACTATGCTCCTAGGATACTAGGATACTAGGATACTAGGCTACTAGGATAATAGGCTACTAGGCTACTAGAACACTAGGATACTAGGATACTAAGCGACTAGGCTACTAGGATACTAGGATACAAGGCTACTAGGATACTAGGATACGACGATAATAAGCTACTAGGATACTAGGATTCTAGGCTACTAGGCTACTTGTCTACTAGGATACTAGGATGCTAGGATACTAGGATACTATGCTACTAGGATACTAGGCTACTGGGCTACTATGATACTATGCTACTAGGATACTAGGATACTAGGCTACTAGGATGCTAGGATACAAGGCTACTAGGATACTAGGCTACTGGGCTACTAGGATACTAGGCTACTAGGATAATGGGCTACTGGGTACTAGGCCACTAAGCTTTTAGGATACTAGGATACTAGGCTACTAGGATACTAGGATACTAGGCTACTAGGATACTAGGATAATAGGCTACTAGGATACTAGGATACTAGGATACTAGTATACTAGGCTACTAGGATACTAGGATACTAGGCTACTAGGATACTAGGCTACTAGGATACTGGGCTACTGGGCTACTAGGCTACTAGGATACTAGGATACTAGGATACTAGGTTACTAGGATACTAGGATACTATGCTACTGGGCTACTAGGACACTAGGATACTAGGATACTAGGCTACTAGGCTACTATGATACTAGGCGACTAGGCTACTATGATACTAGGATACTAGGCTACTAGGATACTAGGATACTATGCTACTGGGCTACTAGGATACTAGGCTACTAGGATACTAGGATACTAGGCTACTAGGATACTAGGCTACTAGACTACTATGATACTATGCTACTGTGCTACTAGGATACTAGGATACTAGGATACTAGGATACTAGGCTACTAGGATACTCGGCTACTCGGACACTATGATACTAGGATACTAGGCTACTAGGATGCTCGGCTACTCGGATACTAGTGTATTAGGATACTGGGATAATAGGATACTAGGCTACTAGGCTACTAGGATACTAGGCTACTAGGATACTAGGATACTAGGCTACTAGGCTACTAGGATACTAGGCTACTAGGATACTAGGATACTAGGCTACTAGGATACTAGTCTACTAGGATACTAGGATAATAGGCTACTAGGCTACTAGGATACTAGGCTACTAGTATACTAGGATACTAGGCTACTAGGATACTAGGATTCTAGGCTACTAGGATACTAGTCTACTAGGATACTAGGATAATAGGCTACTAGGCTACTAGGATACTAGGCTACTAGTATACTAGGATACTAGGCTGCTAGGATACTAGGCTACTAGAATACTAGGCTACTAGGATATTAGGCTACAAGGATACTAGGAAACTTTTTGCCAGTGGCTTGTATTCATTGATGCCAAGGGTAGCCAGGCTTCCCCAAATATTTGCCAAAAAATAAAACATTAATGTTTTCATAAGTTTCTGTCAATTCGCCAGTGACTGAATCACATTAGAGAAATCATCCGAGCGAGGGAAACAGCACCTCTCTGTCTCAGTATGTGTAGCCCATGTATCTGATGCTGTCTGGACCAAAAGTGTATAAAATGTTGCTGCCGTAGCATTTGATTGATTGATGCCAGCAGGCATTTGCCCTCCCTTGATAAAACAAAATTTAAAAGAATCAGCCAATCAGTGTTGAGCTGAGCTCAACTGTGGGTTGTCCTGGTGCAAGTTTTTGGTAAATGCCAATTTGTTCGTGAAAACTGGCGCACGCATGCTTTGGGGCATATTTTGTGCATACACAACGTATATAAATGAGGCCCCTGATCATTTGAACATGTATTCATTGGACTTGATTCATGAAATGTGTAAACAACAGTAACTCCATGTGTCCAAAGACTAGATATAGTACAATATCAAAAACTCATATTGTAGACAAACGCTTTGGCCGATTTAAAACATGTCGTCAGATTTGGCCATCAGTAAGCTTAGAGAACATATGTATTATAAGACATTTCCGTTGTGGACATGAATGGCTAATTTTGAAAGATAACTGCGAAGATAACGATTTTATCATTATGTTTGGTATGAGACACCATATATGCTCCCATTTCAGTTGCAAAAGATGAGTGAAACAAAACTGCTTTAAGTTCAACCAAACTTGACGATGCTGACCTTGATGTCATGGTTTCTCAAAGACTTTTACTAACAGTACAGTCATTCATTTTGACTGCGCCAAATGCTGTTACTATACTGTTGGAGAAATGCAGAACAGGCCCGATATTAAGATGACAAGTATCACGCTAATTATGTTTTCCCCTCTCAGAAGACAGTCTGTATTTGTCTCTTCTTTTGATACACACACACACACACATACACACACACACACACACACACACACACACACACACACACACACACACACCCTGCACAACGTGAGGTTCTTGTCACACAGACACAGATACATTAACAGGCACATCACTGATAAGACTCTCAACAGACCAAAGGAATGAGTATCAAGGTCTGATGATGTTGGAGTGAGAACATTCTTACCAACTCATGTGGATCAGTGGGTGTCATTTAAACTAAATTAAAACGTAAATACTTATTGTTAGTTTAGGGTATTACGCATTTGAACATATGCCATTCGGTATGCATTATGCACCGCGTCATGGGAATATGTTAGATAAAGACCTGTTCATTGTTGTAGCTTTATTGAAGTCAATTTGAACCTTCTCTGTTCCAGATAACAACCAGCTCTGGCAGTGAGTTCCTTCTCCAGGCTGACAATTACCACACTATTTCTAAATGGCATGATGCTATTAAAAGGACAACTGACAACTTGGTAAGCAGTTTGCTGTTTCCTATAGACGGTGAATCTGAAGTTATAACATTTCTGAAGTCTTTATGATTTTGCACATTGAAATGATGACTATAAATCATTCAGAACATTGTTTAGTCATACCATGCTACCCAAAATGAAAGTAAAACAATTCCATAAATCATTGACTCAAGTTTGATTTAATGTTCCACGTTGTGCAGATAATCACATTGACATGCTTTACTGAATGATGAGTGATAATAATGAGATACGCAGCCAGTGACCTTTGTACTGAAATGTTTTAACCTCCTTTCTGTTATAGTCTAAAGGAGCTGCAGGGAAGGCCTCTGATAGGCCTGGCATACGGAGGGCAAACAGCACAGAGTACCTACCCAGACATGGGTTGCCTAGCAAGACACTGTCACTGCCAAGACCTGCACCTGAGTCCCCCTGCACAAAGGAACCCAAACCTGAACACAGACGCTCACACAGTAAGTTGTCTCTAATGACTAGCTATTTCTACTACGGGTTGCTTTATTCAAAACAGTTATTGACGTGGTAGTAGCTTGAACTCGCTGATTAAAAGCTGTCTCTTATCTGTAATACTGTAGGTATTTAATGACTCAAATAACGTTTTCTAAGGTAGTGGTTGTTCATATATTTGCATAATATACAGTGCCTTCGAAGAATATTCAGACCCCTTGACTTTTTCCATGTTTGGTTACGTTACAGCCTTATTCTCAAATTGATGAAATAGTTTTTTCCCTCACCAATCTACACACAATACCCCATAATGACAAAGCAAAAACAGGTTTTTAGAAATTGTATAAAAAAAATTACAATAACTGAAATATCACATTTACATAAGTATTCAGACCCTTTACTCAGTACTTTGTTGAATCACCTTTGGAAGCGATTACAACCTCAAGTCTTCTTGGGTATGGCGCTACAAGCTTGGCACACCTGTATTTGGGAAGTTTCTCCCATTCTTCTCTGCAGATCCTCTCAAGTTCTGTCAGGATGGATGAGGAGCGTCGCTGCACAGCTATTTTCAGGTCTCTCCAGAGATGTTCGATCGGGTTCAAGTCCGGGCTCTGGCTGGGCCACTCAAGGACATTCAAAGACTTGTCCCGAAGCCACTCCTGCGTTGTCTTGGCTGTGTGCTTAGGGTCGTTTTCCTGTTGGAACCTTCGCCCCATTCTGAAGTCCTGAGCGCTCTGGAGAAGGTTTTTATCAAGGATCTCTCTGTTCTTTGCTCTGTTCATCTTTGCCTTGATCCTGACTAGTCTCCCAGTCCCTGCCGCTGAAAAACATCCCCAAAGCATGATGCTGCCACCACCATGTTTCACCTTAGGGATGGTGCCAGATTTCCTCCAGACGTGACGCTTGGCATTCAGGTCAAAGAGTTCAATCTTGGTTTCATCAGACCAGAAAATCTTGTTTCTCATGGTCTGAGATTCTTTAGGGGACTTTTGGCAAACTCCAAGCGGGCTGTCATGTGCCTGTTTCTGAGGAGTGGCTTCCGTCTGGCCACATAAAGGCCTGATTGGTGGAGTGCTGCAGAGATGGTTGTCCTTCTGGAAGGTTCTCCCATCTCCACAGAGGAACTCCAGAGCTCTGTCAGAGTGACCATCAGGTTCATGGTCACCTCCCTGACCAAGGCCCTTCTCCCCTGATTGCTCAGTTTGGCCGGGCGGCCAGCTCTAGGACGAGTCTTGGTGGTTCCAAACTTCTTCCATTTAAGAATGATGGAGGCCACTGTGTTCTTGGGGACCTTCAATGCTGCAGACATGTTTTGGTACCCTTCCCCAGATCTGTGCCTCGAAACAATCCTGTCTCGGAGCTCTACAGACAATTCCTTTGACCTCATTACATTTACATTACATTTTAGTCATTTAGCAGACGCTCTCATGGCTTGGTTTTTGCTCTGACATGCACTGTCCACTGTGGGACCTTATATAGACAGGTGTGTGCATTTCCAAATCATGTCCAATCAATTGAATTTACCACATGTGGACTCCAATCAAGTTGTAGAAACATCTCAAGGATGATCAATGGAAACAGGATGCACCTGAGCTCAATTTCGAGTCTCATAGCAAAGGGTCTGAATACTTATGTAAATAAGGTATTTTTGTTTTTTATGGTTAATACATTTACAAAAATGTCTAAAACTTTTATTTATTTAATCCATTTTAGAATAAGGCTGTAACGTAACAAAATGTGGAAAAGTCAAGGGGTCTGAATACTTTCCGAAGGCGCTGTATGTGTTTTAATTTTCCTTACCCACCAACGTGATAGGGTCTGACAGCCTCCCTGATTTTCAGTGACACATATTGTGTTTTTTGAGATGTGCCCAAAATGTGTGCGGCATCTATTCATTTAGAAGATTACTCTTGTAGGAACATGACACAAGAACATGCTAATTACCATTTTGTCAGCATATGTCAAGTAGCAATTATGGTAATCCCTATTAATGGTTCAAATCAATCTCGTCACCTTAAGCACTGCGAGAGGAATATATTGATGTTGGATGATCATATTAAAATATCTCAATAGGGACCAGGGACACAGAGGTCCAGTATATTATTGGTATACTGAGCTGCTTGAACCTTTGATTGTTGCTTTGATTGTAGTTATGTTCATGTTAATTTATGCCCATGAAAAAGACAGTCCTGGAGCGCATCACAGATAGCAATTATTTCCACTGTAGTTGCTACTGTATGTTTTCAGAAAATTAGAAACAATCACCTGACAACAATATTATTTGCTTTGCATCTCTGTGTACCCCAAATGTACTGTAAGACATATCTCAAACGTGTTTCTTGGATGACAAAGCTAGTCCATAGACAAAGCTAGTCCATAGACAAAGCTAGTCCATAGACAAAATAGGTCATTTGAATTAATTAGGGAAGAGCAGTGTTTGTTTTTATTACATTGACAAGCAGGGCCTGGACTTTCAAAAACAGCAGGAATTCCTTTAGACACGGAAAAGTTCAATTGGAGTGAATACTAGTAAAAGACAGCCATGGGAGAGATTCATTTATAAATAACAGTGGGAATATAAGGAGAGAGGAAGAGTGAGGGTCAGGTAGAGAGATGAGGCGAACAATAATATCAACCTCCACTTTGCTAGTTGAACAACCAGGCCCTAGGCTATAGCATTGCAGAGGCATATACGCCTACTGATCCTTTCTAAAGACAAACGTAAACGTTGTAGCTTTCCCTTTCACTTCATTTAACCGTGTGTCTCTTTCTCTGTGTGTTCCTGACAAGTGTTCAAGTCTTCCAAGCTCAACTATAGCATGTCGGACAGTGCTGATAAGAATGGGGTGAAGAACAGACTCAAAAAGTTCATCACAAGACGGCCCTCTATGAAGACTCTACAGGAGAAAGGCATCATCAAAGGTATCAGAGTATTCTGCCAGGATACATTGATTCTTTTCCACCACACCACACATTTTGAGAGGAACATAAATCTTTCAAAATGTATTACACATTGTATTGTATCTTCTTTCAATTTGGACAACCCTTCAATGAGGAAGAGTTGACGTAACTGTAGCTGTGCATTCTATAGAATAAGTAATGACGACACCATTTTGTATACATCTGGCCCTTCATTGGACACTGTGTTAACATACCTCCAAACGAGCTTCAATGCCATACAACACTCCTTCTGTAGCCTCCAACTGCTCTTAAACGCTAGTAAAACTAAATGCATGCTCTTCAATCGAACGCTGCTTGCACCCGCTGGCCTGACTAGAATCACTACTCTCGGCGGGTCTGACTTAGAATATGTGGACAACTACAAATACCTAGGTGTCTTGTTAGACTCCTTCCAGACTCACATTGAGCATCTCAAATCCAAATTTAAATCTAGAATCGGCTTCCTATTTCGCAACAAAGCTTCCTTCACTCATGCTGCCAAACATGCCCTCGTCAAACTGACTATCCTACCGATCCTTGACTTTGGCGATGTAATTTACAAAATAGCCTCCAACACTCTACTCAGCAAATTGGATGTAGTCTATCACAGTGCCATCCGCTTTGTCACCAAAGCCCCATATACTACCCACCATTGTGACCTGTACGCTCTCGTTGGCTGGCCCTCACTACATATTCGTCGCCAAACCCACTGGCTCCAGGTCATCTATAAATCACAGCTAGGCAAATCCCCGCCTTATCTTAGCTCATTGGTCACCATAGCAACACCCACCCGTAGTCTGCGCTTCAGCAGGTATACAGTGGGGAAAAAATGTATTTAGTCAGCCACCAATTGTGCAAGTTCTCCCACTTAAAAAGATGAGAGAGGCCTGTAATTTTCATCATAGGTACACGTCAACTATGAAAGACAAATTGAGAGAAAAAAATCCAGAAAATCACATTGTAGGGTTTTTAATGAATTTATTAGCAGATTATGGTGGAAAATAAGTATTTGGTCACCTACAAACAAGCAAGATTTCTGGCTCTCACAGACCTGTAACGTCTTCTTTAAGAGGCTCCTCTGTCCTCCACTCGTTATCTGTATTAATGGCACCTGTTTGAACTTGTTATCAGTATAAAAGACACCTGTCCACAACCTCAAACAGTCACACTCCAAACTCCACTATGGCCAAGACCAAAGAGCTGTCAAAGGACACCAGAAACAAAATTGTAGACCTGCACCAGGCTGGGAAGACTGAATCTGCAATAGGTAAGCAGCTTGGTTTGAAGAAATCAACTGTGGGAGCAATTATTAGGAAATGGAAGACATACAAGACCACTGATAATCTCCCTCGATCTGGGGCTCCACGCAAGATCTCACCCCGTGGGGTCAAAATTATCACAAGAATGGTTAGCAAAAATCCCAGAACCACACGGGGGGAGCTAGTGAATGACCTGCAGAGAGCTGGGACCAAAGTAACAAAGCCTACCATCAGTAACACACTACGCCGCCAGGGACTCAAATCCTGCAGTGCCAGACGTGTCCCCCTGCTTAAGCCAGTACATGTCCAGGCCCGTCTGAAGTTTGCTAGAGTGCATTTGGATGATCCAGAAGAGGATTGGGAGAATGTCATATGGTCAGATGAAACCAAAATAGTAAAAACTCAACTCGTCGTGTTTGGAGGACAAAGAATGCTGAGTTGCATCCAAAGAACACCAAACCTACTGTGAAGCATGGGGGTGGAAACATCATGCTTTGGGGCTGTTTTTCTGCAAAGGGACCAGGACGACTGATCTGTGTAAATGAAAGAATGAATGGGGCCATGTATCGTGAGATTTTGAGTGAAAACCTCCTTCCATCAGCAAGGGCATTGAAGATATAACGTGGCTGGGTCTTTCAGCATGACAATGATCCCAAACACACCGCCCGGGCAACGAAGGAGTGGCTTCGTAAGAAGCATTTCAAGGTCCTGGAGTGGCCTAGCCAGTCTCCAGATCTCAACCCAATAGAAAATATTTGGAGGGAGTTGAAAGTCCGTGTTGCCCAGCGACAGCCCCAAAACATCACTGCTCTAGAGGAGATCTGCATGGAGGAATGGGCCAAAATACCAGCAACAGTGTGTGAAAACCTTGTGAAGACTTACAGAAAACGTTTGACCTGTGTCATTGCCAACAAAGGGTATATAACAAAGTATTGAGAAACTTTTGTTATTGACCAAATACTTATTTTCCACCATAATTTGCAAATAAATTCATTAAAAATCTTACAATGTGATTTTCTGTTTTTTTTTTTCTCATTTTGTCTTTCATAGTTGACGTGTACCTATGATGAAAATTACAGGCCTCTCTCATCTTTTTAAGTGGGAGAACTTGCACAATTGGTGGCTGACTAAATACTTTTTCCCCCACTGTATCTCACTGGTCATCTCCAAAGCCAACACCTCCTTTGGCCGCCATTCCTTCCAGTTCTCTGCTGCCAATGACTGGAACGAAGTGCAAAAATCTCTGAAGCTGGAGACTCTTATCTCCCTCACTAACTTTAAGCATCAGTTGTCAGAGCAACTTACCGATTACTGCATCTGTACACAGCTCTGTAATTAGCCCACCCAACTACCTCATCCCCATATTGTTATTTACATTGTTATTTATTTTGCTCATTTGCACCCCAGTATCTCTATTTGCACATCATCTTCTGCACATCTATCACTCCAGTGTTAATACTAAATTTTATTTATTTTGCACTATGGCCTATTTATTGCCTTACCTCCATAACTTACTACATTTGCACACACTGTATATAGATTTTCTATTGTGTTATTGACTGTACGTTTGGTTTATTCCATATGTAACTCGCACTGCTTTGCTTTATCTTGGCCAGGTCACAGTTGTAAATGAGAACTTGTTCTCAACTGGCTTACCTGGTTAAATAAAGGTGAAATATATATATATATATATATATATATATATATATATATATATATTTATGATAGTGAGTCTCCCCGTTTATTAGGAGTCAAAGTACAACAGAGATTGATAAAATTATACTGAATTATTTTACTTGAAAAAAAAATTACACCATTAAAGGCATTATTTAAGCACATTTGCGATCCTTAGAAGAAGGTAACAGTATTTGGAATTTCCCCCAGTTTCAAGGAGACCCTTTAATGTTGTGTCCACGGGACAAATGCTCGATCAAAGGGAGAGGACATTATTGACGGAATAATTGAAATAATTGGGGCAGGTGGCCCTCAGACTGTCCTTTTTGGCAGGGCTGGAGGGAAAGCCACTTCAGAGAGTGTGTTTCCTCAAATCAGGCCCCCCTCCCACCCCCCTCTTTCCTATTGTACTTCAGAATGCAAATTAAATCCATGCAAAGCAAGGGCTATTTGAATTCCTTTAGGAGGGGTAATTTTGCTCCAATTCTCTGGCCCCTCCCCCTCCCCCTCCCCCTCCCCCTCGTAATTTCCCTTGCTTATCCGCTGAGCGCTGGGAAGTGGATTTTGTATGCAAAGGTGCCTTGCTCGCAGTCATTTCTGTATTTGGTGAACCCTCACCTTCCCTCAAGTGTATAAACAAGAGAGGGTGATCTTTGATGTTGCACAGTGCTAGAGAGACAGCACTGTTCCAGAACACCCATACTGTGACATAATTCAGTTGATGAGTGAAAGAGTGTACCCCTGCACAGTCAGTTTGAATACCAGTCAGTTTGAATACCAGTCTATGTTTGATGAGTAATGCTTTGCTAACCTTATATGGCGTCTACTGGAGATTAACTGACCAAAGTTAGTGACCACAAAAGCCTGAGTATATTGCCAGTAGGGACAGGTTAAGTGAGGGACTTCTCAGTAGATTTGAATGGACAAAAGCAGCGTAATGAAGCAACGGGAATGTTCGTATACAGTAAGGCAAGAGAATGTGGTCTCCCTCTCCCTCTGATTGGAGCAAAGAGAATGTGGTCCCCCTCTCCCTCTGATTGGAGCAAAGAGAATGTGGTCCCCCTCTCCCTCTGATTGGAGCAAAGCCGCCTGGGAGACTCAGGGTTCATGGGAAAATGTTTTACTTAGCGATAAAATGCTGTGTGTGGTTAACCATTTGATTGATGATCCTTTACCAGTGGAGCCTTGGAGCCCATGTACTGTTAGCAGCACTGTTCTGGAAACAGCCATCAGAGGAGAACAGGGGCAGTAGGAGTCAAGAGCAATGAGTGTTACTACTTGTGCTATGAGTTAATGACCTATCCCTCAACCTAATGATGATCAATGGGCTGTTGCAGGTGTGAATGGAAATGACTTATTAAACAGATACTCTACCGTTCCGCCAAGTTCCTCCTCTGTGCATTTAAAGATGGGCTCCCGAGTGGCGCAGCGGTCTAAGGCACTGCATCTCAGTGCTCGAGGCGTCACTACAGACCCCCTGGTTCAATTCCAGGCTGTATCACAACCGTCGTCGTCCGGATTTGGCCGGTGTAGGCCGTCATTGTAAATAATAATTTGTTCTTACCTGACTTGCCTCGTTAAATAAAGGTAAAATACATAAATAAAGATCTGAAAAAAACACAGTTCAGCACAATTAAATGCAGAAGCTGTTCTCGTTGATGGTGACTGTTATCGCTAATTTCAATACTTTTTACACTGTAGCTCTAATTCAGCAGTTCTGGGGAATGATGTTTTTTCCTGAATAAACCATGTGTTTTTTCCTCACAGATCAAGTGTTTGGGTGTCACTTATTGGCACTTTGCGAGAGGGAAGGGACCACTGTGCCAAATTTCGTTAGGCAGTGTGTGGAGGCCGTCGAAAAAAGAGGTATGTACTTTTCTGAAAAAGGTGTTGAAAGTAATCTTTGATACTTTGTGTATGGGAAAGAAATCAACTATTCACACACACACACACACACACACACACACACACACATACTCACACACACACACACACACACACACACACACATACTCACACACACACACACACACACACACACACACACACACACACACACACACACACACACACACACACACACACACACACACACACACACACACTCACACACTCATACTCACACACACACATACTCACTCACACACACACACACACACATACTCACACACACACACTCATACTCACACACACTCATACTCACACACACACACACACACACACACATACTCACACACACACACACACTCACACACACACACACACACACACACTCACACACACACACACACACACACACACACACACACACACACACTCACACACACACACTCATACACACACACACACATACTCACACACATACTCACACACACACACACACATACTCACACACATACTCACACACACACACACACACACACACACACACACACACACACACACACACACACACACATACTCACACACACGGCCAGCCCGCTCATTAGGCAGGATTAGTCAGCTGCCTATGGCGGCAGATTGACGAGGGCGGCGTTTCGTGAGCTAAACTGACCAAGACCCACCTCCAACAACGACATATAAAACCTCACTTAATTCTGCCCAAAAACAATGACAATTCCTCTTAACCAGTGGCATATGGGCTTTTTAGGTGAGCGCTGATGCCACCTTTTGATAAGCAGTGGCCACTTTGTCAAAGGCAGAGGCGCAAAATATTTTGCTTGTCCTTTCCAAGCCGCCTCTCCAGAGTGCTGTTGGAGAGACGCATCTCTGCAGCGCTCCACCAACGTTCCGTCAATTTTCTTTACATAAATCATGTAGCAGATACAGGATTTGGTAGAATGAGTATGTGGCCTTTTCTGTAGCCTACAGGCTGGAGATAAAATGTATGACAAAGTAATGAGACGGACGCTTTTTACATCATGCAGGTTTCTCCGTTCAAATAGCCTAACATAAATGACGCTCAATCAAATACAAAATTAGCTATCATGCTAACAACCAACATATCCTAAAAAAAGGACAGGTCAATATGGAATGGACAATCACAACTTGTCCAGGAGTTTCACCCCATTGTCATGATCAGTGGTTTCAAGTTTATATCCATAAAGTTTTGACAAGCTGATCATAGCGAAAAATAAAATACTTCTGCATATATCGCTGTGTAAACACATTGCAAATAGGCTCAGGATAACTCCTGATGAAGTTGGGTAGTTGAGTTTCAAAGCTTAAATAGACAAATTGATTAGTCAGGAATCAGGACTAGTAAAGCCAATGCAACGGTCTGTTTTACAAATGGTGGGCCTACCACATGGATGGGCATTCATACAATTCAGTTGAGGGCTGACATGGTAGGCTACACCCCAGTAAGCAGAGTCGACGTCTTTTGTTGGTCCTGTCCGGATGTTGTTCTTTGGTGTTTTACAAACAGCAGGCTTACCACATAGATGGGTATTCACAAAATTCAATTTCAGACAACACTGTAGGCTAGACCTCAGTAAGCACGGACTGACGCCGACGCCTTTTGGATGTCTTTTTTTGGTGCAGTTCCGAAGCAGTCATAGACGTCTATGTTTGGTTCAGATTTTGTCCGGTCCAGACCGGCCTTGATTTCAACGTCCACGGACATAGATTTTTGGTCTGGTCTGGACCAAATCTGAACCAATCATAGACGTCTATGTTTGGTTCAGATTTTGTCCGTTCTGGACCAGCCTTGATTTGGCCCAAACATAAACGTCTATAAATGACTTATTTTCAGCTTTCATTCAGAACCCAAAATGTGCCTGATTTCAACATTCGGAAAATACATATTTTCAACGTCTGTAAAATATGTATTTTCAACATCAGGAAAATAAGTATTTCAGCTTTAATTCAGAACCAAAACTGAACCTGATTTCAACGTTCGGAGAATACGTATTTTTCAAGGTCCGGAAAAGATGCCTTTTCAATGTCCTGGAAAAGATGTATTTTAAACATACAGAAAATACCTTTTCACCTTTCATTGAGAACCTACAATAAACCTAACTTCAACGTCTTTTAGACGTCTTTTGGCCAGGCTCTGGACACCGCAGGAAAAGTACAAGCAAACAGCTTCTGACTGCCTTCTATGTAAAGAAAGGGCCCAACACACTGGTGTCAAATTCATCTGGACATCTTGAGCTGTAGAAAATAGCCAGGACGTTATACAAGAAATCAACCATATCATCAAGTTACTCCACCAGTGACAGCGGTACAGTAGAATGTGGACAGACATTCATTAGAGCAATTGATAGAAAGGGTCAGAGGAATGTGTCGCCCCAGCTACCTCTGCACAGTGGCAGTGTTACTGTGCACCGACAACAGTGTGACTCAAACTGTGGTGGCTATTTCACATTACAATCTGTAGTCTAGCCTGTGTATCAACTTGCAAGCTGCTAGGATGTATTGTGTATTTAAATGCTGGTCACTTTTTAATTAAAAAAAAAAATCTTGTTTTTAGAGTATAGACAATGAAAGCATGACAATCTGTCAAATGCTGTTGAGTTGGTTTGAAATGCTGGTCTCCTGTACGTGGATGCAGTCGGATTCTATAATCAAAGTAGTGCTCAAAATGTCACAGTGAAATAGAGCCGTATGGCGTCCAAGTCCAAGCCTCTATCTAGGCAAGATGTCAACTATCCATTCCACTGCAATGAATGTTAACATTATCTATCGAAAAAACCCAGAATTTATTTATAAATTGGTCAGTTTTGTTAATCTAAGTCCAAATTAAAGCTTAGTCTTTGTGTGTAGTATGTCACTGGCTTGTGTCTAACTTGTATCCGCCAGGTTTAGAGGCTGATGGCATCTACAGAGTAAGTGGTAACCTTGCCACCATCCAGAAGTTACGATTCTTGGTTGACCAAGGTATGTTCTGTTGTTTGATTCACTTGTGATTGTTTGTATGTTATAGTGTTTGTATTACAGCCGCATGCCCAATAAACTAATATCGTTCTGCTCTCCCTATTATGGATTAATAGTAGTTAACTTCATACAGTTCAGTTTCTACTGGATATCATACAATGAACACAACAGGATTGGATTGAGGTGTTCTTTGTGATAAAATCTATACAACCGAGACTGTGCTCTGTTGAAATCATAGATGATTACTGAGTAATTACTGAGTAATTCCACTTTACAGCTAAATTATGAATAACAGCAGAGACATTTTCTTGTTAAATGAATAACTGATCACAAGACTGTCTTTTTCGCAAATAAAAAAAATGATTCCCGAATACCTTAAGAATGGGATCTTTCAGAGTAAACGGAAGGATGACAAAGCATCCCTCATGAGACTTCAAGTCAGGTCTGTGCCTCCAGTGAAACGCGTCTACCTACTTAATCTGAATTATCCAATGTCTCCTTGTGAGGGGCTGCTGGGGGATTTCTCCATCAAACTAACAAGAGAACGTTTGTCTGTTGTTTTCCAGAGCTCTGAGACGGAAGAATAGACTGGTTGACCTTTAGACTAATGTATCATTCTGGAATGTATTTTTCTGTCTTGAAGAAAGCTAGCAACCTTCTTATTTAGACACACCATTATTTTTTATTGTGCCCTGCAGTCCTACAGATTAAAGAAGTGGTTTGTGACGCGGGACATTGAGGGAAGAGTGACATCACCAACATTTTGCACATTCCGAGCATTCTGACACAGTGACACCATGTGTCTACATTCTGTCCCACCCATTCCATTTCTCCTGAATGTGCTCCCAACCCCCATAGTTTATACAGAGCCAGTACAGTACAAGCTCAAGTAAGAGTGGGTTGAAAACATTGACCATGTAGTAGGCTACTTCGTCCTTCAGGACCGTAGAACGCAGCAGTTTCAGTTTTTCTAGTGGGTCTTTGTACCAGGACTCAGTACAAACAAGGCAACCGTGGGCTGATTAGCAATCCACTCAGATGTGTCAAGTGGACGCACTGGAGAGGCTGGCTAATTGAAAGTCTGGACTTTCTGCTGGTGAATACGTAAAACTGGCCAGAGAAAGAGAGAAATACCCACTCGCTTTGTCATTTTCTGACTGTCCAACAGTCCAACACATTGCCTTGGTTTTTGGTTGACTGAAGATAAAGAACATCTGGACATATCAAATACATAGACCTCATTTCAAAACATGAATCAAATCTTTCTAAGATTAAACATGGCGTTATATTCTGATCATGTGACAGGGTTGCCTGAAATGAAAGATGGCTTCAACATAGAGCATAAAGTGACCATTCCACTGTCTTCAGAGCTTCAGGCCTGTCATCTTGGGTTTGGATCATAGGCCTACTTCTCCTCCTGTGACATATTGAGCCTGGTGCCTCTGAATCACTTATCCACCTGATGTCTCTGTCACTACCCAGGGATTTGTCTGTTTTCCACCCTATCAGAAGTAACTCATTTCAGCAGAGGGTATCTGTCAGTCTAAAACAGAGACACATGTTGCTTCATCAGACCTCTGGGTAGCTCGGAGCCTGTTAGTGAGCGCCACTGTTAGCAGGTAAACATTAGCATAGTAATTAGCCCTCTCTAATTATCCCAATTAAAGCTGTGTTGCTATTCTCTCTCACCGCTCCTGTTCCTTCTCTCTCTCTCTCTCTCTCTCTCTCTTTCTCTCTTTCTCTCTCTCTCTCTGTCTCTCTCTCTCTCTCTGTCTCTCTCTCTCTCTTTCTCTCTCTCTCTCTCTCTCTCTCTCTCTCTCTCTCTCTCTCTCTCGTCTCTCTCTCTCTCTCTCTCCTCTCTCCGCTCTCTCCACGTGCCCCCTCTCTCTCCCCCCTCTCTCTCTCTCTCTACATTCCCCTGTCTCTCCCCTCTCTCTCCCCCGCTCTCTCCCCCTCTCTTCCTGGTGATGTCCCAGAGGTGGAGTTTAACCTGGACGACAGCCAATGGGAGGACATCCACGTTGTCACTGGGGCGCTCAAGATGTTTTTCCGGGAGCTGCCAGAGCCGCTGTTTCCCTTCCCATTCTTTGAGCTGTTTGTGGAGGCCATCAGTGAGTATAAAGGCCAGCTGGGTCTGCTTTTGTTTGTCATCAGCACATCCATTTGAGTCTCAGCACCATTTTGAAGCATATTTAGGCTTGCACTTGCAGTCAGGTCTCAGTCACCTTCATTTTGAATGCATTGAAAATCTCTAGATCTAGATGAATAGTGGTTTGTGTCAGAACTGTGTAACCAGTGAAATATGCAGGCTAGCCTGGGTATTACATAGTAACACATTCATCAGGTCCTTTGGTGTGTTAGCATTAATCCTGCTTATACTGTACTTCATCTGCTTTTATTTGCCTCTACAAACGTTGTCCTCAAGGCAGCTCAGTTAAGCACTAAACTACTTTTAATTCGGAGAGAGAGAGAGAGAGAGAGGGGATTGAGCTGTGGTATGCTACGTTGATACTCCTCCACTATCTGCATAGCAACAGAGGTGAAATCAATAGTCATATTTCCACATGGTCACTTGGCACCCATGTATGGGCCCAGAGCAAAACATCAGAGTTAGAACATTAGGTTGTATTTGGAGGCGCTGAATGAATCCTCTTAGAACATTAAAATGATACTGAACAGTACAGTATCTTGCAAAAGTATTCATCCCCCTTGGTTTTTCCTATTCCAACCTGTAATTTAAATGGATTTTTATTTGGATTTCATGTAATGGACATAGACAAAATAGTCCAAATTGGTGAAGTGAAATAACTTGTTTCAAAATATTCAAAAAAATCAATAACGGAAAAGTGGTGCGTGCATATGTATTCACCCACTTTGCTATGAAGCCCTTAAATAACATCTGGTGCAACCAATTACCTTCAGAAGTCATCTAATTAGTTAAATAACGTCCACCTGTGTGCACTCTAAGTGTCACATGATCTGTCACATGATCTCAGTATATATACACCTGTTCTGAAAGGCCCCAGAGTCTGCAACACCACTAAGCAAGGGGCACCACCAAGCAAGCAGCACCATGAAGACCAAGAAGCTCTCCAAACAGGTCAGGGACAAAGTTGTGGAGAAGTACAGATCAGGGTTGGGTTATAAAAAAATATCAGAAACTTTGAACATCCCGTGGAGCATTATAAAAAAATTGAAAGAATATGGCACCACAACAAACCTGCCAAGAGAGGGCCGCCCACCAAAACTCACGGACCAGGCAAGGAGGGCATTAATCAGAGAGGCAACAAAGAGACCAAAGATAACCCTGAAGGAGCTGCAAAGCTCCACAGCGGAGATTGGAGTGTCTGTCCATAGGACCACTTTAAGCTTTACACTCCACAGAGCTGGGCTTTACAGAAGAATGGGCAGAAAAAAGCCATTGCTTAAAGAAAAAAATAAGCAAACACGTTTGGTGTTTGCCAAAAGGCATGTGGGAGACGCCCCAGACAAATGGAAGAAGGTACTCTGGTCAGATGAGACAAAAATTGAGCTTTCTTGCCATCAAGGAAAACGCTATATCTGGCGCAAACCCAACACCTCTCATCACCCCGAGAACATCATCCCCACAGTGAAGCATGGTGGTGGCAGCATCATGCTGTGGGGATGTGTTTCATTGGCAGGGACTGGGAAACTGGTCAGAATTGAAGGAATGATGGATGGCGCTAAATACAGGGAAATTCTTGAGGGAAACCAGTTTCAGTCTTCCAGAGAGTTGAGACTGGGACGGAGGTTCACCTTCCAGCAGGACAATGACCCTAAGCATACTGCTAAAGCAACACTCGAGTGGTTTAAGGGGAAACTTTTAAATGTCTCTTTCTCTCTCTCTCTCTCTCTCTCTCTCTCTCATCCCTAAAATACCCTGGTCCTAAGTGGGGGAATTCCACAGGCCAAAGGCCACAGCAGCCGGAGCTGGCAGTCCAGACAGAAGCTATCACAAGATCAAATCTGCCACTAGGTCATGTGTCGTCATACTTTCACTCGCTAAACCACACACACACAAATCCCTCCACACATACACAGAAAACCCCCCACACCACCCCAACCCACAACTCAATTAACCCCCATCATGCCAATGATCAGGCCTTCACCCTAGAGAAAGAGAGAGAGAGAGAGAGAGAGAGAGAGAGAGAGAGAGAGAGAGAGAGAGAGAGAGAGAGAGAGAGAGAGAGTAGAGCGTAAGTAGAGATGAGAGAGAGAGAGAGAGAGAGAGAGAGAGAGAGAGAGATACTCCTCCACTATTTCCACATATGGGCCCAGAGCAAAACCACATCAGAGTTAGAACTTTAGGTTGCATAATATCGTCTTAGAACATTAAGATGACACTGAACAGCAATGTTCCCTCTAAGCGCGCAGCTCTCCCGGGAATGCCAAGAAGAGGAAATATCAGCCCGCGCAGAGAAACACGAGATTGAACTTCACTCAACTTTTTAGAGTTTTCCCCCTTAGTTAACACTATCAACATTTCCCTTTACTGTGGGAATTGTGATAGAATCAACGCAATATTAGCCACTTTCAATGCAACATACCGAAACAAAACAAACTATGCAAGACTTAGTATGCAAAACCAACTATGCAAGAGATTTTGTTGAAGCCAGAACTCATCAGAGTAGAATTCTATTGCATTGACATTCACAACATTCAGTACTCTACACAGACTGGTGCGGCATAACCAAGATGGGCTTGTTTTCAGATCAAAGCGAGAGCTGCATGTTGCCACGTGCACATTTGTTCATATCCTTTGCTAGTTAGTGAGTTATTAGTCCAGTTATAGATCATTTGTAGTCAGCAATGGGGGAGTGATTGCTTCCTATAAGGGCACAAAACATGTACATTTCTAGACATCTTTGAAAAGTGAGTCTGGTAAAGAGCTTTTTTTTTGTCTTAAAGGGGCAGTGTTGTATCTTCTCTCTCTCTCTCTCTCTCTCTCTCTCTCTCTCTCTCTCTCATCTCTCTCTCTCTCTCTTCTCTCTCTCTCTCTCTCTCTCTCTCTCTCTCTCTCTCTCTCTATCTCAATTAACCACTATCATGCCAATGATCAGGCCTCCACCCTATTTGCCGTCCTACTGACGCCAGTGTTAACCTCGTGTAAACAATGCTATTAAAGGTTGAAATGCTACCTGGGCCATGTAACCCCTGCACCTCAGGGTTGGAGCTTTTTTTCTTCCCCTATTTATTCCCCTATTTGATCTGTATGTGTCATTTTAACAAAAGTGCCTGCTGTTATCAATGCTGTCCCATCCCGTGGCCAAATATTCTCTTAGTGACCCTAGAAGCCCAGATTGCGAAAACAATCCCAAGGTGGTGGTATAATTTGGCAATAAATATTTACATGCTCCAGAATGTAGGCCAGAATCCCCACTGGCGCTCAAGGTGGTTAGATCCAGTTAATCAGATAACCATGAGCACGGCTGATGAGGCTCAGACAGCGTTTAGACAACTAATTAGTAGTGTAGGAAGCCCTTCATAGCAGGAGGTGTAATTAGGATAACCTTCTACACCGCTGTAGAGATGAAACGGCCAGGGTGGAGTCACTACAGATTCACCACTAAATGTATATCGTTGTAATATGAGAGGGCAACTAAATATATCTGTCGTTGTAATATGAGAGGGCAACTAAATATATCTGTCGTTGTAATATGAGAGGGCAACTAAATATATCTGTCGTTGTAATATGAGAGGGCAATTAAATATATCTATCGTTGTAATATGAGAGGGCAATTAAATATATCTGTCGTTGTAATATGAGAGGACAACTAAATATATCTATCGTTGTAATATGAGAGGACAACTAAATATATCTATCGTTGTAATATGAGAGGACAACTAAATATATCTATCGTTGTAATATGAGAGGGTAATTAAATATATCTGTCGTTGTAATATGAGAGGACAACTAAATATATCTATTAGCCACCATTCACTGACATACACCATTCACTGACATACGCCATTCACTGACGTACGCCATTCATTGATGTACGCCATTCATTGACGTACGCCATTCATTGACGTACGCCATTCATTGACGTATGCCATTCATTGACGTGCACCATTCATTGACGTACACCATTCATTGCCGTACACCATTCATTGACGTACGCCATTCATTTACATTGCAAAGATACTGGGAAAGAACTTGGCATCAGCACATGGCAATCACCTGCCCCTTGTCATTTAAGAAAACATAGAACATAGTGTTAGTCCAAGATAATGAGCTGGTTGAACCGTCCAGAACATTAGAGCAAGACCTCATCTGCAGCCAACCCATTATTGGTAAACAGAGCTGTTTGACGCCATCATCCCCCATTTAGGACACTGAGACTGGGAGACACTGGGAGACACTGAGAGACACTGGGAGACTGTCTTCTGGTGATGGAGATGGGTTGTCATCATTAGTCCTGTCGCCCGTGCTGGCTGGCCCTGTAATGGGGTCACATTAGTGTGAGATCCTATGGGCCCGTGGCCTGTGTGGATGGAAGGTGGGCTGATTAGGCAGGCTTGAGTACACAGGTCTCTAATTGATTTCCGTAATCATGGGCTGAGAGCTTGGGTCCCATTGGACAAAGAGACTTACAAGTACTACAACATGATGGCTGGAGTATTATTTATATGTAGTCCAGTCCTTTCATAGATAGAAAGTAAGTCCAGCAGGAGATCTCCTAAAGACAATAAAACAAAGTTCACTACATCGCACGTCATTTCTTGAAACGGGTCTATTTAATTAGTTTAGCATACTGTGTAGAACCGAGGGAAAAGGGAGAAAGAAGAGAGGAGAGAAAAGAGGAGAGGAGAGAAAGGAGAGGAGAGGAGAGAAAGAAGAAAGTTAGAGAAAGAGAAAAAGAGAGGAGGAAAGAGAGAGAGAAGAGGGCGAAAGAGAGAGAGAGAGAAATGAAGAAAAAGAGCGAGGAAGAAGAGAAATAGAGAGGAGAGAAGAGAAAGAGAGAGGAAAGATAGAGAAATGGAGAGAGGAGAGAAGGGACAGAAGGGAGAGAAGAGAGGGAGAGACGGAGAGAAAGAGGAAAAAAGGGGAACACGAAGAGAAAGAGAGAGGAGAGAAAAGAGAGAGGAGAGAAAGAGAGAGGAGAGGAGAGCAAGAGAGAAAGAGAGGCAAGCAGAAAAGAGAGC